CTTTGCTTTTTTGCTTCCATTTGAAGAAAAGTGCTGCTGAAAGTCAACGAGTGCTATCGGAAGCTTATGATGATTATATTTCATCGATTTCAACATATGAGTACTGATTTCGACGCTATAAAAAAGATGATTTTGACATGGAAGACAAGGAACGTCCAGGCCAGCCGAAAAAGTTTGAAGATGAGGAAGTGGGAGCTTTACTCGATCAAGACCCGAGTCTAACGCAAGAAGAACTTGCAGAATCATTAAATGTTGATCGATCAACGATTTCCAGACATTTGAAGGTCATTGGAATGATTCAAAAGCAAGGAAATTGGATGCCGTACGAATTGAAGTCGAGGGACGTCGAAAGACGCAAAATGACCTGTGAATTGTTACTTCAAAGACACAAAAGAAAAAGTTTTTCGCATCGTATCGTGACGAGTGATGAAAAATGAATATGCTACGATAATCCGAAGCGCAAAAAATCATGGTGCAGGCCAGACGAACCATCAACATCGATGGCAAAGCCGAATATTTATGGCGCCAAGCTCATGCTCTGTATTTGGTGGGATCAGAGCTGGGTGTAGTGTATTATGAGCTGCTCCAAACCAACGAAACCATCACTGGGGAACGCTACCAACAATTGATGCAACTGAGCCGAGCATTGAAGCAAAAACGGCCAGATTACGCGAAAAGACACGACAAAGTGATTTTCCAGTACGACAACGCTCGGCCACATGTTGCGAAACCGGTAAAGGAAATGTTAGAAGCGCTTAACTGGGATGTCCTACCACACCCGCCATATTTTCTAGATATTGCTCCTTCGGATTACCAGCTATTTCGATTGATAACTCATGGCCTGTCTGAGCAGCGCTTCCATTCTTATGAGGATACCAAAAAATGGGTCGATTCGTGGATAGCCTCAAAAGATGTGTCGTTCTTTCGACGTGGAATCCATCTATTACCAGAAAGATGGGAAAAAGTAGTGGCTAGCGATGGACTATATTTTGAATGATCAATTTGTAACCATTTTTTCACAATAAAGCCGTATTTTTATCAAAAAAATCCCTTAAAATTAATGCACACTCCCAACACACACGCACGCACGCACGCACGCACGCACATAGGGTATCCCACAACTGGTAGAACACCCGTTAGGGGTAGGTAGGAGATGAAATTTGAAACTGAAAGTTCCTCTTCCATTTTTGGATCCGACAATTAATTAATGAGATATTAATTAATTAAGTCTACCAATCCCTTAGTGCCCCGAGTGAGCGCTCAGGACTGTAGGACGCGGTGGACTCCTTAGGGGCTCTGCTTGTCCACGTTGTTAGAGTTCTTGCTTTTTTTCCTCTTTTTTATATCACAAAGAAATAAATAGGGACGAGTGAGTGAGTGGGTGTGTGGATAGGTGCCTGAGGCACTTAAGAGAATGACAAGTTTTCAATGTGTAGGGGTGATGTATTTTGTGTGCGGTTATGAGTGCATGGATAATTTAAATATTTTTAGTGCAAGTGGGCGGAATGATTGCACTTTATGTGTCGAAGGGGGAGGGCATGTGTAGTATGCTTCTTTCGAGTGTGCAGGTGACTTAAAATTTTTCTGCATGTCTGTGGTTAAGTATCGTCAATGATTTTAGTGGGTGTGTACAAAAAGGAGAGAAAAACAGACAAGCAGGGCTTCTGAGGAGTCCATGGCGTCTTACGTCCCTGAGCGCTCACTCAGGGCACTAAGGGATTGGCAAACTTAATTGATTAATATCTCATTAACTAATTGTCGAATCCAAAAATGGAAAAGGAACTTTCAGTTCCAAATTGCACCCTCTAACGGGTGTTCTACCATTTGTGGGACACCGTGTGTGTGTGTGTGTGTGCGCGCGCGCGTGATGTGTGTGTGTGTACGCGTGTGCGTATGTGTGTGTGTACAGGGTATTTCATTTTAACTTTTACACCGTAATATCTTAAAATGTACAAAAAATACGGAAAAATGTTTCAAACAAAAGTTATGGTTCGATGGAGGACATAAGAGGGTACCATTGGTTTAATTTTGGGTGCCGCCGCCAAGATCAGGTCGACTTTGTTTTTTTTAAATAAAAACATTTTTTTTATAGAATTTTATTCTACGTAAAGAAACAAATAACTCTTATTTGAAAAAAAATTTTTATACGACTTCTATTTTCTAAAATATTTACGGAAATATCTACAAAATTATTGATTTTAATAATTTTTTATTTGAATTCTATCAACTTTATATAAAAAATAGCAAGAAATAAAAATTGTTTATTTTCTTCTTATCAAGCTCTGAGAATTTTTTCAGAATTTTTTAATTAATTTCTTAGTACTGTATTTTCTTGCATTTTTTTGAAATACTAAAAAGTTAATTTAAAAATTCTGAAAAAATTCTCAGAGCTCTATGATAAGAAAACAAATAGTTTTTATCTCTTACTATTTTTCGATAAAGTTGATAGAGTAAAAAATTATAATTCGAGTAAAAAATTATTAAAACCAATAATTTTGTAGATATTTCCGTAAATATCTTAGAAAATAAATATTGTATAAAAAATCTTTTCAAACAGAAGCTGTTTGTTTCTTTACGTAGAATAAAATTCCGTAATAAAAAATATATGTTTCTGTTTAAAAAACAAAGTTAACCTCGACATGACGTTGGCGACGCCATGCA